CACACACACACACACACACACACACACACACACACACACACACACACCCAGGCCCTTCCTCCTACCCTCCCCTGTGGGACCTCAGCTCTTTGGGCTCTAAGTGTCTTGACACCAAGCCCATGGGGTCTCCTCCAGGCATTCCTGTTACGGGGCAGCACGAGAGGTACGAGGCTGTGTGACTGGGCCATGCCCCAGTCTCTGCCCTCTGCTCCCCTGTTCTTGTCTACAGAGGCTGCCACACTCAACTGCAATGCCCCCAGTTATAGCGATGCTGATACCTACAAGAGGAGCACAGGCCGCTGGACCCACTGCCTAAGACATCCATCAGACTTCTATCCAGATAGTCAGGCTCCTCATCTCACACTTTCTAGAGAGTAATGGAATCCATGCAAGCTCCCTCGGCTAAGTGAAAAACTAGTTCTCTAGAGTATGTTATGTGCAACCCCACAACCGCCAGGAGAGCAGAGCTTCAGAACACACAAGAGACTCTCCAAGCATTTATTCAGTTGACAACTGAAATCTCCACACTCCTTAATGCCTCAACACAACTTGAGCCTTAATGTGGACACTGGAGCACTGGGAAGGGGATTCCTAGACTGAGTTGCCCCAGGAGGGCTTGTGTGGCAGAGGCTGGACACTCAGATGCATCCGCACTGGGCAGCAGGGGACCTTCTCCCAACCCAGACAGCTGAGTCAGATGTGGACATGGTGATGCCTCCTCACTCTCTCCCAACAATCACCAAGCGGACTGGTTTGATAAAGTGTCAGGTCTAACGCTGTTTCACCGGTGATGATGTCCCTTCTTTGCTAGATGTTCTCCAAGATGTGGCTGAAGCATCATGAAGCATCACCTGGCAGGTCACTGGCCATCCAGTTTCACCCACTTTTTCCCGGCAGGCAGAGCACAGCCAAGGCATAGGTGTGGACAACACAGGTTCCTGGAACACCAGGCCGGGAAACTTCCAGGGTTCCTTTCTTGCTGCCACTCTCTGTCCTGTGGATCTCCACAGGGTCAGTAGATCAAACAAAATTGAGGAAAGGGCATTGAGTAGAAGTGGGAGGTCAGAGGCAGGGCTAGTGTGAGACTCAGAAACAGAAGGGGGTGTGGGCCAGGGTGATCACGGGGTCGGCAGGATGCCCAGAGGCAGCACCAGACACAGCGTTAGGCTGAAGTAGCCTGCTGAGTCTATATGAGAAGCCTGACTGATTTTAGCAACGACCCAATCCTTGTAGAAACTCACTTCTGTAAAAACTCCTGGATACCCTCTGCGACCACAGCCAATGCCCCAGCTCACTATCCCCACCTGGACCCATGAGTCATTAAGTTGACAGACCAGGGGACCCCCAGAATCTCCCTAGAGAAAGAGAAAGAAACAAACACAGTGATGGAAGAGAATCAACATCATAACAGGCTCAATGCACTGCAAGACGCTGGGAAATTGGAATGCATGGGGCTCCCCAGGCTCCACTAAGGCTCCACCAAGGCTCCACCAGCCCTAGGTTTCCATGAATCTGAGACTGAGAGTTGAAAAAATTTTACAAACAAAATTTGTATATGTCATCAATAAATTGTATGCAAAAAATTGAATATTCTCAAAGAAAATGTATGTACTCTGAGATATTAATAATGAATAAAGTCCTTACTTGTATACATTTCCTGTCACTTGACTTGTATTATTGGTATTTCATGCCTGAATCTCCCCTCCTCCCCTGTCTCCCTCTAGGCAGCATCAGATCCTCTCTACTGAAGGATCAGGTCAGGCCAGCCTGGCAGAGCCTTGGTGGCTTGTCCCCTTTAATCCTCTTAACTTGAAGACAGGTGAATGGGGGTGCTGCCGGATAACGTAGGTCCTACTGCTTGTGGATGAGGAACATCTGGGAGGACAACCAAAATGCAGAGGCAGCAAAGGGCCCATGAACTGACCTGGCAGGCATCCTTTCCTGTGGGGCTGGTACCACAGGTAGCCCTCTTCTTGACCATGTCAAATCGACTTTCCATCTTTTCTTTGAGCACCTCATTACATCTCTCATAGTGAAGAATGCTTAGCTCAGCCTCCTGAAGCAGTAGTGTAGATGCTTGCGATGGTTCTGTAGAGAGAATTTAGGAGTAGGTGGATCTGCCTAGTGGGACAAAACAGGAGCCCCTGGTACCCACTCTGGGTCTCAATACAGTGTGTTCACATACAGATGCCCTCTTAGGGTAGTGGATATTGTCCCCATTTGACACTAGAGGAAATGAAGCCCAGAGTTGCCATGGTGAGAAGAAGTGGTAAGAATCAAAACCAAGACAGGTAAAGAAGAACAGATCAGGACAGGAAGAGGCAACCTGAGAAGTCAAAACCAAGTGTCTGTCACTCTGAGTATCATCAGTAATAGTGACAGGTGTCCTGTACCTCAGAAAAGCATCTTTAGTTTAGAGCGGGATCAGAATCTCAGACAGGCAATGCCCCAAAGGTACCAAATCCAGTCTCGCCCCAGGGATAGGAGGCTCCACAGTTTTCATCCAGAGTTCTCTGGACTCTTCTCACTCACAGAAAGCTCCCTATCCACCAAGGCAGGTACTTTCAGTTTGGGACAGCTCAGATTAGCAGACAAATCAACACCTCCTGAGTTTAAATCCACCCTAGAGAGAACCCACTTTGCTTGTCACTCAAGACCCCAGGTCCTGACATACTAATAAAAATTTGTAAAACCATCAAATTACTCCCACCAGCATCTTCTCCACCCTCCTCCCTTACCCACTTGCTAGAAAATTGCCTCCCTGTCTCTCCCTTTAGCTTGTAGGTCAACACCAGGGCACCAGGCAGCCCCTTCCCTGGCCCGAGTTTGCTGCCATCTTGCTTCACAGTCTCACCTCTTTCACCTAGTTTTCCCCAGCCAGTCACCCAGCACTCTGTACCAGCTTGGACCATGAAAGCCTTTTCAGGGAGGCACACAGTTTGGATGTTCGAGGAGAAATTCACAGGGAAGGCAAGCAGAGCAAGGGCAACGTCATTTCCCACTGTTCCAATAGGATTAAAATATTTGTGGATAACCATGTCTCGGACTGGGACCTTGATTGCCATTTTGGAGGTATGCATCAAGCGTATGTCTCCCATCTTCATTGTGTATTCCACATGGCTGCAGAGAGATCTTCGAGGCTCTACACTCCCCTTCCACATCTTCTAGGTTCTTCCCAGCCTGGTCCTATCTCCAAAGCCACTTATCGGTCACTTCCCTCCCTCCCTCCCGACCACATCCCTTCCTGGACCCCTGGCCACTCTATCCAGTGATTCTCAACGTTTGGTCCCCAGATGAGCAGCATCAGCGTCAGCTGGGAGCTTGTCAGAGATGCAAATTCTCAGGTCCCACTCCTAACCTACTGAATCAGAAACTCTGCGGTTGGGGACGGGCAATTATTGTTTCAACAAGCTCTGCAGCTGTTCCCATGCTCACTAAATTTGAGACCACTGAGCTAGCCAAATTGGTCAGCTACATTCTATTCCCCGTAAATATTCCCTCTTACAAGTCTCTGCCCACACACTGTTTCCGAACTTGCATCTCTCCCCGCTTCTTGCCACTTGGCTTGAAGGCTACTCAGCACAGGGTTAAAAAAAGTAGTTTTGAACTTGATTTTGCATTTTGACTTTCCAGGCTACCAAGGGCCCTAACATCACCTACCTCTGACTGTACCCTGAAGAGCTATAGTCAGGGACTGTGACCCTCTTTTTCAGATGAGGAAGAGGAAGCTCAGGAAGAGGTCAGGACTGGCTCCAGGTCACACAGCCTGACCAGAAGCCCAAGCCTGGAACCCCGAAAACTCACCCAAATACGCAGTGGGCCGCGGTCAGCACCCACCAACTGGCAATGAGGGAGCCTCCGCATATGTGTTTATCATTGATCTGCAGGCTGACTTGCCAAGGCCACTTCCTCTCTGGGGCCGGCCTTCCGCCAACTACCCTTGAAGTCCAATGGCCACACACTAGAGCAGGTCAATGAAGGGACAGGACTGAAAGTAAAGCCGCTGACGCCACCACGACCAGAGCCAGATAATCCTCAGAAGTCTCAGAACCCTCAGAGCAATGCCATGTCCCCTCCGACCCCCAGGGCAGGTCTGTATCCCCTAAGACTCCTCAGAAAACGGTCATGTCCTCTCAGATCTCAAGGACAGGGTTGGGTCCACTCAGAACCCCCAGGGAAAATTCGTGTCCCCCTGAGAGCCTCCTCCCCCAGGGCTGGGGCCCATGCCCCTCAGACCAGGCCAGTTCTCTGCCGCAGGGCTTGGCCCGGAAACATCACCTGAAGGAAAGAGCTGTGGTCGTTTGGTCCCTCCTGGTGCTGGTGTATGTGGAGGTGTCAGAGCCTTGTAAGAATCAGAGTCACCTAGGGTAAACGCCACCAAATCGGGGGCTGCCGCAGTCATACGGGATTCCGTGGCCCCCGAAGTTCCCGGAAGCCCTCGAGGAGGCAGCTTCCACGGGCGTGCCCTGGCGTCCTCGCGGCCGCCCCGCGAGATGGGTGGAGAGCCTGAGGTCAGCGCCGAACAGCCCTGCGCCCCCTCCCCGCCCGCCCGGGCCTCACTGAGCCGAGGTTGAAGGACCAGGAGCCAGACCAGGAGGCCCAGGGATCCGCCGCCGCTGCGGAGGACGCCCGGGGACGCCATGGTACCTCTGGTCGCCTCCGCGCTCTGCAGCGCCCCCTCGCGGCGGCTCCGCGCCTGCCCTCCTGTTGGCGGGAAACGGCTGGGCGGGAAAACTGGTCCCCGGCGCCTGTGGGGTCATCTGAGGTTCAGGGCCTGGACCGGACGGGGCCTCGGAGCGCTGGCCACAGAGAGTGGCAGCCGCGCCACCGCCGCACAGAGATGTACCCGGAACTCCCTGTAGGGCTGCATCAGGCCTTTACCGGCGTTTCCCTCCCCTTCTTGTTGGCAGTAAAAATTTTAATTCCTCAATATAAATGTTGCGCTGAACGTTACTAACCACTGAGTTAGAAATGATACCGTCATCTTTTAAAAAATCAGCATCCACGTGAAAAGAGCCATTAGTGGAATGCAAATTAAAACCACAGTGAAATATCACCACACATCTAACAGGCTAGCTAAAATTTAAAAATAATGACAACACCGATAATGACACAGATGCAGAGATATTGGATCACTCATACACCGTGGTAGGAATATAAAATATTACAGCCACTTTGGAAAACGGATCAACAGTTTCTTATAAAACAAAACATACAATTACTATATGACTCAGTAATTGTACTCCTGGGCATTTATCCCAGAGAAATAAAGATTTATGTACACACACACACGCACAAACACACACACACACAAATACATTTACAAATGTTTACAGTGGCTAAATTCATGAGAGCCAACATTTGGAAACAACCTTGTAGTAGACAGAATAATGGCTTCCCAAAGAAATCCACATTCTGATCCCTGGAACCTGTGACTATATTACCTTACATCGCAAAAAAAGAATGGGATAAAATTTTTTAATCTTGAGAAAAGGAGACTAACCTAGATGACATACATAAAAGTAGCCACAATGTTTTGCAGTTTCTCCGTCAAGAGACAAAGTCAGACTGTGATATAAGCAGCCATGTCACTAGGTCTATATGACCTGGCAAATCCTATGGTGCTAGAGTTTGCTGTGGTGAATTAAAATGCTGTAAGGAGTCTGCTATGTCCTAATTAGAGAGTCACAGTATAGATCCCTACAGTTCTGGAGCACGACCATACTCTCTGCTGCAAAGAAACTGTATATCCTTTGAAAAGCAATTCCTGGCACACTACTGAATCCTAAAAAGAAACTAAATGCCAGACCATGGGACATTAAATGACTAAGAGACCAGCACCTCCTATCATAAGATGGAAATTTAGCCAAATTCACTAAGTCGTAAACTCAGTTGGAAAAGGCAATTCATGACCCACTGGAAGTGATACATTTGGGATTGGATCATGGCAGTCTTGAAGACACAAGTAAGTTGTGCAGAGAAAAGGCCTAGACCCCCATGTCACTTATTTGTATTGAATTGAAACAATTCTCCATCAGTTCACACCCATAGCCTGATAGGGTGTATCCTATGACCAACGGATGAAAGAAGAAAAAACCTGGCCCTGGCTCACAGATGGGCTCAAAATCTTGGTGCCGGCTGAAAGTAGACTACTGTTGCACTAGTTATTCAGGGGTTATATATACACACTCAGCGGTTATATATACACATATATATTCTATATATAGCTAGCATTGCCTGCCTATAATGCCTTTGTTGACACCACTATCAGTGGACTCATGGAAGGTCTGACTTACCATCATGGAATCCTGAGTAACAGCACCTTAGACATAAGGACCTGCTTTTTGGTCAGGAA